TCTTCCCGGGACCGGGGCACACACCCGCGTCCCCTGCATCGGCAGGCGGACTCTCAACCACTGCGCCACCAGGGAAGCCCGGTTTGTTTTTTTTTTAATTTTTATTTATTTATTTTGGCCATGCGGCTTGTTGGAATCTTAGTTCCCAGACCAGGATTGAATCCAGGCCCTTAGCAGTGAGAGCACAGAGTCCTAATCCCTGGACCACCACCAGGGAATTCCCTGTTCTGAGTGCTTTAGAAGCCTTATCTGATCCTTACAATATACATCTCAATACCTCTATTTTATGGAAAAGAAAGTAGAGGCCAAAAGAAATTTTTTTAATGCCTAAGGTCACCCAGGTGGGTGCCAGAGGCAGGTTTTGACCTTGAGCAGTCTGGCTCTCGAGCCAAGCTCTGAACCACTGGACACAACCTCCTAGTGTCCAGGAGACGTCAGGGGGGTGTGCAGAGATGCAGACGTGCACTGGAGGCCCGAGTGGACCCAGGAGAGATTTGGGGAATTATCAGCACAGAGGTGAGGAGTGGAAACCGAGGGGAGGGCGACATGGCCCAGGGAGGGTGTGGGGATGGATGAGGGCCTGGGAGGAGCCCTGAGGGCCCAAGGGACAGGAGGAGAGAGAGGAGGAGTGCGGGAGAGAGAGAGAGAAGAGAGCGCTCAGGAAGGAGGAAGGAGCCCTGAGAAGTCTCAGAAGACAGAAGAGGCCCTGAGCGTGGCCACAGACAGGCCACTGAGAGGAGGAAAACCCCAAATGCTGGGGGCCTGGGCAGGGGGTGCGCACCAGGAACGTAGGTAACTCCTGCCACGTTTGGTGCGCATGAAGAGGAAGCATGTGATGGGTAGTGAGTGACCCAAGGCGGGGTCGGCTTGAAGGAAGCCAAGTGGGGAGTTTGGGACAACTCAAGGGCACTGATCTATAGCCCTTCTTCCTCTAGAATGGGAGGGCGGAGATGTGAAGAGAGTGGAGGAGTGGCTATAGTGGCATCAGGGGGAGATTCGGGACTAGACAGCTTGTCTAGGGCATCTCAGAGAGAAATGGGGGAGCCTGGGGACCCTGGAGGGGGCTTAGGGACTTGGATCCTGAGTGGAGATGGGTCCCTGGAGGCTGAGGTCCAGCCCCAGTAGGGGCTGAGGACCCTGGGACTTAGTCCTAAGAGGGCAGCCGGGTGCCTGGGGTGGAGGCCCTGGGGTTGTCCTGGCAGGAGTGGGTCCCGCAGCACAGACAGAGTTTCCCGCAGAGGGGTCCCGCAGCTGGGTTCTGCTGGGGAACTTCCCCAGCTCAGAGGGCCCTGGGAATTCTGAAGGGCTAGGACAGCCCCCTCCCACCAGGCCCACCCCAAGGCCTCCCAGAGTCTCCTCAGACCAGGGGTGGCCTGTCTCACTGCACAAAGCATCCTTTCAGGCCATCCTCAAGGGACTCCTTTCTCTGCACCCGCGCCCCACCCCCCAACAAACACACACACAGAGGAGACCTGACACAAAGCTACCTCTGGATTATTTTATTCACATGGCTTGGCAAGATACGGGCACTCCTGCCAAAGGGTCAGGCATGGACTCCCCGGCCCTGACCCGGTCAGTCGCCCGCCTCCCAGCCCTCTGAGGGTTAGTGCTAGTTATCTCACACACAAAACGAGGAGGGGGGATGGGAAGACGGGAGGGGAGTCTCCCTCTGCTGAGGGGTTTCAGATGACGGCAGCCTGAGCCCCCTCCATCCTCATGGGGCCTGGAGGCCCCGTCTCCGAAAACCCCACGTTGGGCAGCCGGACCCGGAATCCACCTTCCTCCTGGGCCTTGGGGCTTAGGGACACCCGGGGGAAGCGGAACTTGGGTGACTTCTCCCCTCCAGGTGACTTGGGGGCCGCCTCGCCCTCCTGCCCCCGAGGGGCCTTGGAGGGGGTAGTCAGGCCCACACGGGGCAAGCGGACTCGGACGCGGCCCCGGCGCCCGGAGGCCCCTTCCCCGCAGCCCTCCTCTTCCTCGTCCTCGGGGCTGGGGGAGCCTTCCCCACTGGCCGCCTCGCTCTGGCTGAAGCCCACGCGGGGCAGCCTGAGTTTGGGGTTCTTGGCCTTCTCGGACTCCTCAACCCCCTCCTTGGCCCGTGCCAGGCTGAACCGGGGCAGCCGCACCTTGAGCTTGTGTCCGGCATCCCCCTCGCCCTCAGACACCTGGTATTCAGCATGGCTGCCCACAGCGGGCGGGGAGAGCTCCACGTCAGGCAGCGGGAGGTGGAAGGTGCACTCGGCCCCTGGGGGCTGGTCCCTAGGCCCCTCACCCCCCACCGCATCTCTAGCCCCCAGCGTGGGCATCTTCTGCCTCAGCCCGCCCTCACCTGTGGCTGCCTCACCCGCCTGCCCCTCTCGGCTCAGCCCCACGTCCAGCTCAAGCTGGGGCACTGTCACAGCGGGCATCTTGAAGACACCCTCACCCTCGAGCAGCTCACCACCCACCACCTGGGCTCCAGGTAGAGACAAGGTCACCTGAGGCACCTGGATCCTATAGCCTGGTGTGCCCTCTGCTGGAGGAGGTGCATTCTTGGCCTGCTGCCCGGGGGTGGCACCCAGGTCAGCCTCCCCAAAGCTGGGCAGCTCCACCTGGGGCAGGGAGATGCAGAGCGGCACCCTTGGCCCCCCATCCTGGCCCTCAGTGCCCACCTGCCTGGTTGCGGACATTTGCCCTTCCTCCTGGGCCCCCAGAGTAACCAATTCCACCTCAGGGATCTTAAGCTGCACAGCCGTGGACTCTGGCTTTTCCCCGGGGCTGACTCGCCCCCCCTGGATTTCTGCTTCCTTCCCTCGAGCCAGCCCAAAGGAGGGCATCTTCAGCTTGGGCATCTTCACCCTCGCATCCCAACCCCTGCTCTTGCCCTCCAACTCAGTCGCCCCTGGCACTAGTTCTCCTGCCTCGCTGTCCCGGCCTCTGACCCCAAACTTGGGCAGGCTGAACCTGGGCCCCTTGAGCTTGGCATCAGTCCCTGCCACCTCCGCCTTGCCTGTGGGCAGATGGGAATCCAGGCTGAGCTGTGGGATGGACAGATCGAGGGCGGGCAGCAGGCCTGCCTCCCCCGTCCCTCTGGCCTCCGCCTCGGTGCCCACCCGAGCCTTGGGGAGTGAGATGGCAAACTTGGACACCTTTAGCTTGGCGGCTCGTCCAGCCCCCTCAGCCTCTGCCTTGGTCACCTTTGGCCCCGAGAGTCCAAACTTGGGCAGGGAGAACTTGGAGGAAGGCTTGACTTTCACCTCCGTCACCTCTACTTGCCCTTCCTCAACCTCCACTGTGGGCAGCTGCGGCGTGACAATCTCAACGGAGGGCAACCAGAATGCCATTTCCCCGACCCCTGCTACCACCCCAGGGGCTTCTGACTGCTCCACCTTGCCCATGTGGGCTGCTGGGACCTGCCCCTCCAGGCCGAAGGCCCCGGGCAGGTCTAGTTCTACTGAGGGCAGTGTGAGAGGGGGAACACCCACACGAGCCTCGCTGCCCATCTCTGGCTTCAGACAGGGAAGTGTCCCCAGCTTCCCCAAGACCTCAGCACCAGCCTCATCTGGCTTGCCTCGAGATGGGGACTCTGCCCTCCCTAGCTTGGACATGGTCATCTTGGATATCTTGAACCCAGATTCCACCCCCTCTGCTTCCTCTGCCCTGGCAGCTTTTAGCTGCACCTCTGGAGCCTTGAGCAGCTTCACCTCAGGTGCCTTCGGCAGATGCACATCCGGGACCTTTGGCGCCTGCACTTCCGGCAGCCGCATCTCCGACACCTTTGGCAGCTGCACTTCCGGGAGGTGCACGTCCGGCACGACTATCTCGGGCAACTTGGGGAGTTTTATCTCCGAGACTTTTGGCAGCTGTACCTCTGGGAGTCGCACCTCTGGCACAGCCATCTCGGGCACCTTCGGGAGTTTCATTTCGGGGCATTTCATCTCGGGTACCTTTGGCAGCTTCAGCTCTGGAACTTTCGGGAGCTGCACTTCTGGCACGGCCATCTCAGGCACCTTTGGGAGTTTCACCTCAGGGACTTTCGGCAGCTGCACCTCTGGAAGCCTCACCTCTGGCACAGCCATCTCCGGCACCTTTGGGAGTTTCATCTCTGACACTTTGGGGAGCTCCACCTCTGGGAGTCGCACATCTGGAAGGGCTGCCTCGGGCATTTTGGGGAGCTTGACGTCTGGGGCCTTGGGGAGCTTCACCTCAGGCCCCTTGGTCTCCTTGACCTCAGGCGGCGAGACCCCGATGCCAAAGGAGGGCATCTTGATGGTGGGCAGCTTCAGCTTGCTCTCAACGGCTTCAGGGGCAGCGGGCCGGGGCTCCAGGAGAGAAAGCCCAAAGGTGGGCATTCGAAGTTTGGGCCCCTTCACCCTGGCCTCAGGGCTGCCCTTGGCCACCTTGGCCTCGGCAACTTCTTTTGCTCGAGCCCCAAAGCGGGGGAAACTGAGGCGGGGCATCTTCAGGGCCACCTCAGGTGCCTCTACTCGGGCTTCCACCTCTGCACCAGGCAAGGCCAGGTCCACCTCCACTGTAGGCGCTGCCACGTCCAGGGTGGGCACCGTCACTGCCGCAGCCCCTTCCCGGGTCTCCAGGCAGGGAAGCGTGGGCAGAGTGGGTAGCGAGGGCAAGGTGGGCAGCTCCACTTGTGGGACCTGGATCCCTCCAGCCGCAGGCTCCACAGCAGGTGCAGCTGGGGCTCCCAGCCCAAGGGTTGGCAAGTGGAGGGCAAAGCCGCTGACTACCTCTGCTGCAGGGGCCACCTCCCCCTTGGGGGCTGCGACCTGGGGGACACCCACCGCAGCACCCGGCAGCCGAGGCCCAACCAGCTCCACCTGGGGAGCTGTGAATCGGGCTCCTGCAGCCCCCTCGGCCTCTGCTTTGGCCTTCCTGGGGGGAGGAGCTGCAGCGGCCAGTCGGGCTACCTGGGCCTCTTCGGCCACTTCTCGGACACGTAGCCGAGGCAGCTGGAGGCGCCGGCGGGTGGGGGCAGCTGGGACAGGACCTTTGACAGCCTCGGCTTTGAGGCCTCGACGCAGACGGGAGAACTTGGGAAAGGAGAATTCGACGTCAACAGGGGCCAGGTCTGCAGGGACCCCCAGGGCCCCGGGCACCACCATCTTCTTCTTCTTCACAGGGGACAGACTCTGGATGTTCTGGGGAGAGAGGAGAGAGGCAGGAGGCGGTGGGACAGTGGGAGGCCTGGGGTGGACGGGGGGAGCCCCACGTGGTTATTTTACCAGGCTGGGGATGTGCTGGATTGAGCATCTTGTCCCCAGAACACCATCCCCACTTCCTGCCTGTCACTGCACCCTTACTGCCCCAGAAGGCGAAGACTTTATTTAGAATCCTACAGTGAATCAACAGGAGTGTAGAAACTGTGACCCAAGACTTCTGGCTCCTCCTCCAGGATTTTCCCCCAAACCCTCACTCTAGAGATGGAGAAACTGAGGCCCAAGGAGGGAAAGAAAGCTGTCAAGGGTCACTCAGCAGTAAATGAGCTGCCCTCAGGCTTGAACCTGGCCTCTCTGGTTCAGGACGCCTGACGAGGTGGGTGAGGGTCCTGGTTTGGGATGGGTGGGTCCCCCTCCCCAGGGAGGAGTTTAGGGGCAGAGAACAGGAGGCAGTGGATGGGATTAGCGCTGGGTTAGTGACAAGACAGAGGGCAAGGCTGGCCCACCAGTGTGGGGCAGTGGGGCTCAAGGCGCAGAGACCGGATCGCTGGGGCAGTCCAGGGCCGCAACCGGGCTAAGCACGCGTACCAGCTTGGCCACCTTGGCCCGCGGGCCCTTGATCTCGTAGCCGGCCACGGTCCCAGGCCGCAGCGCCAGGTCCCCGGTGGGCACAGTGCGCTTCAGGCAGAAGGAGACCTTGTAAGGCTCGGCGCATTGCAGCAGGCGTAGTGCGTCCTCGTACTTGAAGTTCTCGAAGAACACTCGGGCGCTCAGCAGCTGGTCCCCTGCAGGCCAGGTGGAGGTGGGCGGGGCGTGGGCATCTCTCGGCTCCGCCCAGGCCTGGTTCCGCCCACTTCTCTGGAGCCTGTGCAGCGAGGCGCCTCCCAAATTTTTGGCCCCGCCTATACCCGAGCACAAGATTGGGACGCAAAGTTCCTCCTGGTTTGAGGTTCTGACACTTAAGGACAAAGCCACGGCCTCGGCCTTAGCCCCGTCTCCCTCAATGAGCTAATCCAAGCCCATTCAGGTCACACCCCTCCCCTTTCTACTCCCCTCCCCCATCCTCACACTTCGGACACTAACTTTGAATCAGAAGAGAACTTCCAGAAGCTCCCGCCCCATTATTCAACCCTCTGATCCTGTGGCGATTTTCTCCACTCTCTCCCCACGTTATCAATTTGATAAACCATCCCCACTCCTAGCTCTGGTCAATCCCTCCACCACCTTTTCAGGGACACACTCCAGCAATTCTCCCCTCTCTCCCCACGTTATCAATTTGTCCTTCTCGTCTACATTATTCCCATCAGCACACAACATACCATTCTTTCTCCCATAAGAAAGGCTGTCTTGACCTCACTCCTTCTGGAGCTCCTGCCCCATTTACCTGTTCAGCTTGATGGCAAGATTCATTGAGTTGTCTAGCTGCATTATTTCCAGTTCTCCAATTACACTTTTTACATCCCCCCTCCCAGAGCCTTGAACTGCTCCTCTCAAGGTCCCATGCAGTGACCTCTGTGTAGTTAAGTCCAACGGTCAAGTCCCAGACTTCATCTGCTTGAACTCCTGCTTGAGACGCAGCTTCACTCTCCTCTCCTTCATCTACTTGCTTGGCTTGGCTTCCAGGGTGCCACACCTTCTGGAACCTCCCTCGAGGTTCCTTCTCAGCCTCCTGGGATGGTTCCTCCCCATCTCCCAGACCTCTTAAAGACACACAGTCCCAGAGCTCAGGCCTTGGACCTCTACTCTGGTCCATCTACATGCTACACTCATCCCTTTGGGAAGCTCATCCAGATTCAGGAGTTTGAAGAGCATAAATATGCTGACTCCCAAGTGTATCTCTCCAGCCCAGCACTCCCCCACTCCATCCTAGACTCAAATATCCAACTATCCCTCCATATCTCCACCTTGGGATCCACCTCTCATCTGACACATCCAAATTATATTCCTGGTTTTCCTGCAAACAAGCTCCAGCCCCAGTGTTCCCCATTTGTGGGACTACCAACTCCATTCTCAGGTCAAGAATCCCTGGACACATCCTTGATCCCTCTCTTTCCAACCCACCCCATATCCAGTCCTGAAGGCGCTTCGCCTTGATGGCAAAATTCATTGAGTTGTCTAGCTGCATTATTTCCACCTCTCTGATTACACTTTTGACACCCGCTTCCCAGAGCCTTGAACTGCTCCTCTCAAGATGCTATGCAGTGACCTCTGTGTAGTTCAGTCCAAAGGTCAAGTCCCAGACTTCATCTGCTTGAACCCCTGCTTGAGACCCAAATGATATCCAGAATCCAAACCCTTCTCTTCATCTCCAATAACACTCTTTTGGCCCCAAGCATCACCAATCTCTTACCTGGAAAATCACAGTAGCCTCTTTTCCTGCTCCCCATCCTGCCCCCCACCACCCCCAGTCTACCGCTAACACAGCATTTCAACACAGTCAATTCATGTTCTTTCTTCACTCACAAACCTTCCAGATTAAAAGTCAAAGTCTTCCCCATGGCCTATAAAGCCCTCTAAAAACTACCCTTTCTCTTACCTCTCTGGCCCCATCTCTTACTCTACTCTTCACTAACTCCACTCCATCCACCCTGGCTTCCTTGCTGTTCCTCCAACAAGCCAGGCATGCTCCCATCTTGGGGCATTTGCACTGGCTGTTCTCTCTGCCTGGAAGTCTCCTCCAGATGGCCACATAGCTCATTCCCTTACCTTCTTCAGGCCTTTCTGCTCTTCCTGGCTCACCCTATTTAAAAATGCAGCTTCTGGGACTTCCCCGGTGGCACAGTGGTTAAGAATCCGCCTGCCAATGCAGGGGACACGGGTTCGAGCCCTGGTCCGGGAAGATCCCACATGCTGCAGAGCAACTAAGCCCGTGCGCCACAACTACTGAGCCTGCGCTCTAGAGTCCGTGAGCCACAACTACTGAGCCCACGTGCCACAACTACTGAAGCCCACGTGCCTAGAGCCTGTGCTCCGCAACAAGAGAAGCCACTGCAATGAGAAGCCCGCCCACCATTACAAACAGCAGCCCCAATCGCCGCAACTAGAGAAAGCCCGGGAGCAGCAATGAAGACCCAACGCAGCCATTAATTAATTAGTTAATTAATTAATTATTTAAAATGCAGCTTCCGTCCTGGCATCCGTAAGCATATATTGCCTTCTAATTTACTGTGTATTTTACATATTTTGCTTAAATATGTCTCTCCTTACTAGAACGTAAGCTCCATAAGTGCAGAGAGTGTTATCTGTTTTGTTCCCTTCAGTAGCCCAAGCACCCAGAATAATATCTGGAAATAGAAGGCACTTAGTAAATAGTTGTTGCATGAATAAATCGCATCAGCCTCAGCCATGTTACCTAAAATATCCCTTACTAAGCTCCCCTCCCCACCCCCTCCAAGTTGTTAACTCCGCCTCTTTTCTTCAGCCTCAACAACAAAACAATAACTAGCACTTACTTAGTGCTTACCACTAAGTGCCACTTAGCTACTTGCTGTGTTTTCAAACATTTAATCCACATAATAACCCTATGAGATAAGTACTAGAATTAGTCCCATTTTAGAGGTGTAAAAACCGAGGCACAGAAAGATTACAAGACAGTAAACTGCACATCTGGGAGTCGAACCGAGACAATGAACCTCCAGAGCTCCTGCTCGGATCAACCGCAAAGCCGATAGGTAACACAAAGCCCCGCCCCTAGCCCTTAACCCCGCCTCCTGGTCCCGGTACCCAGGGCAGCTTCCCAACCCCGCCCCCGCAGGAAAGCTCCGCCCCATGCCCCCGCCCCACTCACCTTCCTGTAGGCTGAGGCTCCTGGCCGCAGGTGAGTCCTCACGCAGCTCGCGGACGAAGATTCCCTCCTTGCCGCCGCCGGCTACGTTGATGCCACTGACCCCGGTCTGCGCCTCCGTCTCCACGATGATCTCCACCAACTCCGCCCGCCTCAGCTCCTGCGGAGGGCGGCGAGGGGTCGCCATGGGGCGCTAGGGCGGGACTTCGCCCAGAGCCCGCCATTGAGCTTAAAAGCGGCTCTTAACCGGGTCCTCAGGGCACAGGCGCCTCGGCGGGGCTCAGGCAGGTTGTGCGGGCCCACCCTCTCCAGCATCTCCCCTTTAAGTGAGCACGAGGGCCGCTCGCTCAGTGACACCCCGCGAAAGGGTTCAACGGCTCTCGAAGCTCACAGGCCTGGTGGAGCCCCAAAGACCGCTATCGGGAGAGGCGGGGCGCGGGGCGGTGTTATAGAGGAGGGGCGGGGTGGGGAGGCCAGAGGGAACCTGAGTTGCGACTGAGAGGCGGGCCTGACATGAGGGCGGGGCTGTGCCCCCGAGGGGCGTGGCCAGTTAGGGGCGGGGCTAGGGTTGGAGCATTTGCGGATAGAGGACGGTTGCCTGAGAGGAGCGGCGAAAGATAGATGGGTGCGGCTACAGCGTAACCGTGGAGGTGCGGAGGGGACCCATAGTCTGTGGACGGGCTTGAACTATGGGGAGGGGCTTTAATAACAGCAGAACAGGGGTGGGATGGAGGATGGGGTCCCGAAGAAAGGGCCGACCCTTAATGGTGCGGTATGGAGGGGTGCCGGTGGGACTGGCCTCGTTGAAGGCTTGTGTGTGACTGTGCCCCATTGTGGACTCTATGACCCCAAGCCCTGCATAACGCCCATTGGAGAGGGAATCCAGTGAAGAAGGGTGCGTGGGTAATGAGCGGTGGGCTGGCAGACGTGGTATTCCTGGTATTTACTGTAAATGGTGCTGACCTGGCCCTGGCCCAGCAGTGCACTGTGGGATCCGCACCCGGGCTTCCCAGAAGAAACAGTGAAAGGACTCAGTTCCACAACCATCCAGGAACCCAATCTGCTGTGTGTCTTGGGCTGGTGGGGGGGGGACTTTGCCCTCTCTGGACCCATTTCCCTACTGTAAAGTTGGGTAACATGGGTGTACTGGAAGGAGTCTCTGACTGTGAGCTGAGACCTGACGCAACAGACGTGTGAGGGGTTGCTGTAGTGGGTAGTGCATTGAGTCTGGTACAGACTGGGGTTGAGCCCAGGGCTTGGAGAGGGGAAAGCAGGTCTGGCCAGATGCTCCACAGCAGTGGCCCTGGGACTGGAGAGCTGGGTGGAGCATGGTGAGAAGGGGTAGGAAGAGTTGTGGTAGAGGCAGCAGGGAAAAGCATGACCATCACCACCACCCTTAGGCCCTGGGCTAAGCATTTTATGTGTGGCATCTCCTTTCATCCTCCCCGCGGCTTGGGCAGTCACTGAGTAGGACACAAAGGTCCAGAGAAGTGAAGTGACTGCCTAATGCCACACAGCAAGTTAAGCGGTGGGGCCTCAACCTCAGGTCTGTGACCTCAGAGCCCATAGGCCGTCCTGTAGGCAGTGGCCTCCGTGCACTTTACTCCCTGCCTGCCACCCCTCATCCTCAGCTTGACTCCTGTAAAAGGAGACCCACTTTGTGCCTGGCATCCAATGGGATGCAGTCAGTGCTAGTGCCCTGTCTCCATAACAGTGAAAGCCGTTAACATTCGAGGGGGCTTCCTAGGTACCAGGCCCTGGGCAAATGACACAAGTGTGAGCCCTCAGCACCCTCAGAGGTGGGGACCATTGCCCCGTTTCACCGATGGGGAAACTGAGGTTTAGAAAGTTCAGGTCATCTGTTCAGGACTGTACAGCTGAAGTGATGGGGTTGGGATGTAAGCCCATGGGTCCAAAGCCCATGTCTTTAACCCCTACGCCATCCTGCCTCTTCTGATGAAGGGTTTCTACTCTATTTTTTTAAGCTTATTATTGTTAATATAATTCCATTATGCTCAATGAATTAGCTTCTTTGAATCTTAGTCTGTGCCAGGTACTGTGTTAAGCACATTACAAATGTTAATTTTTTTTTCCTTCACAGTGACCCATAAAATAGGCCCTGCAGCTATCTCCATTTCACAGATGGGGAGACTGAGGCACAGAGAAGCCAGGAAGTGTCTCCTTGCTACCCTAGTCCATGCCTCCCACCAAGGCCCCACAAGTCCCCCTTGCAGGATGTGTTGGGCGCTCACCTCAGCACTCTGGCTCCTGGCCTCCATGGCGCTGCTGGGAGTCACCTGGGCCCCAGGCTCCTGCTTCCTCTCTCCCTTCTGCTGCAGGACCAGTTTCAGTTCTGCATGGAGCAGCTGCCTCTGAGCCTGCAGGGGCAGGGATGGAGGCTTGAGGCCAGGAGAGGATAAGAGGAGAAGGCTGGGCTTAAAGGGAGAGGTCAAGGTGGGTATGAGAAGGGAAGAAGGGCCCCCCCCATCCCAGCTGTCCTCTTACCGCTGCCTGGGAACAAGCGCCCCCTCCTAACAGGAGCCCAGCCTGGGGTGGTGCACAGTCGTCTGCGGGACTCGCGCCCTTCCTCTGGGGTCTCGCGCCCTTCCTCTGGGGTCTCGCTGCCTGCCAGGGAGAGACCAGGTCATGAGGCTCCAGACAGGCGAGGGAGGGGCAGGGAGGGGCATGTGGCACCAGCCAGTGCTCACCTCAGGGTCACCTCCAGCTCCTTGGGCCTCCTGGGTCCGGGGCTCTAAGAAGAATAACGTGAGCATTACTATCAGCTAACCCCACTGATTGCTTCCTGAGTGTCTGAGCCTTCCCACACTCTGTCAGTACTCTATCCGCAGGAATTCCCTGGAGGTCCAGTGGTTAGGACTCCGCGCTTCCACTGCAGGGGGCACAGGTTTGATCCCTGGTCAGGGAACTAAGATCCTGCATCCTGCATGGTGTGGCCAAAAAAAAAAAAAAAAAAGGGTACTCTATCCCTATAGTGCAGGTGGGGGCACTAAGGCTCAGAAGACCTTTATCCAAGGTGACACAGCAGTATAGCCAGAACTGACTCCTAGGCCTTTCTGACAGCAGAGCCCCTACGCCAACCACCTCAGCTGACTGAGGGGGCCAAATTCACTGTAAAATCATTATATCCACTGCCATGTACTCCCTGTAGGCAAATCACCTCACCTCTCTGTGCCTCAGTCTCCTCATCTATAAAATGGGAAGAATGAGGGCAGCTACCTCTCAGGGCTGTTAGGAGGGTCAGATGTGTTTGTAAATATACAGTGCCAGGCACATGGTGGGCACTTCATAAGCACTTGCTATGATTATCACTAAGAACTTCCTGTGGTCTTGATCTTGTGTCAAATATCCCACGGGGGTCATTGCATGTGGATTTCAGGACACCCCTGTGAGGTCAATACAATTACTGAGCTTGATACAAAGAAGACACCTGAGGCTGGGAGAAGGAAAGTCACTTTCCTGGGTCACAAATGACCCAGCCAGGACTTGAACTTGTCGGAAAGCTCCAGCTGCTCATACAGATAATAACTAATGGGCATTGCGTGGTTACTCTTTGCCAGTCCTGTGCTAAGACCGTCACTTTCCACCTCACCGCAGAAAACCCTAACCCCACAACATTGTAAATCAACTATACTCCAATAAAAAATAATTTAAAAAAAAAAAAAAGAGAAAACCCTAAGCCCTGAGAGAGGCCAGGGACCTCGTTCAAGGTCACACAGCACAGCGAGAAGGAGGTAGAGCCGGGAAACCTCCCCGACAGGCCCTTCTGGGGAAAAGGGGATGGATCCTATCTCCCTCCTCCGAGCCCCCGACTCTGGCCTTGTCCTCCCAGCCCCCAGCTGGCATGCCAACCCGCCAACCCCCACTCCACAGGGAAAGGTCAGGCCTCACGCGGCGCATTCCCTCAAACAATGGCCCATCTGCTGTGCCCAGTCACATTCCGCCCCTGCCCACCCACCCCCAGCTGCACAATGGCCCTTCATAGCCCACCACTGGCCAGGATAGAGGACACAGGGACCCCCTCAATGCTCCAGCTGTACCCACTTCACTGGTTGCCCCCCCACGGTGTCAGAAGGCTCCTCTCTGGCTCTCCTAGGGGTCCTGGTCTCCCCTGTGAGCCCCCAGCCCCTCCCACATCTGGATTATTTCCTCTGAACTGGGCCTTATGCTGGCACCCTTAGGCCTTGAAATCACTCTGGATGTGATGGCTATTTTAGGGTTGAAAACTGAGGCTCAGAGAGGGCAAGTGACCTGTCTGGGGTCACACAGCTAGGACCTGTGCCCTTGACCCCAACTCTGCACCTTCACTTGTGTTGGTGGCTCTGAGCACTGGAGGAGGCCCAAGCAGCAAAACAGCTGAGGCAGGAGTTGGGCTGGGCAGAGGGGATCAAGGGTGCCAGGAACAGGCATTCTTAGAGGGACCTCGGTGCCAGCCCCGAGCCAGGCAGACACTTTATAGACATGGCCTCATGGTACCCCATTTTACTGATGAGTAAATGAGGGTTAAGAAACGGGATAGCACAGGGAATTCCCTGGTGGTCCAGTGGTTAGGACTCCGTGCTTCCACTGCAGGAGACCCGGGTTCGATCCCTCATCAGGGAACTAAGATCCCACGTGCCACATGGCCTGGCCAAAAAAAAAAAAAAATAGAGCCAGGATATCACTGTGAGGGAGTTGGGACTTGAACCCAGGTCTGAAATGCTAACTCTGACTCCCTGATATAACATAATATCCTGAGCTGGGGGTGAGAGAAGCCTGCTACTTGTAGGAGGTGGTGGAGATGGAGGGGAGGATCCCCTAGGCCGCAAGCTCCCTGCTCCAGGACAGGCCAGAGAAGTTCACACCCAGAGGCTAGCACAGGAAGCTCAGCCAGGGTGAGGGCAAGAGAGAGTGCCCTGCTTCTTCATCCCGGCCCGGGACAGCTGCCCAGCCCAGGTTATATTTAGCCCAGCTGTGCCCTTCCTGAGCCACGTACCCAGCTCCTGGGGTGGGATGGGGTGGGAGCAGCTTCGGAAGGAAGCAGCTTTGGAAGGGCCCAACCCCGGGCACTCTCTGTTCCCAGATCTGCCTGTCCCACTAGGCAGGGGAAGGAGGGGTAGGGAGGTGGGGTTGGGGGGGCTGACTTGTGTTAGGGGAAGATCTAATGGAGATTCCCTGGAGAATCAAGGCCAGGCAAGACCCTCCACAGGCCAACAGCCCACTTCTTGAGCAATTCCTGTGATGCTGCCCTAGTACATTCCTGAGCTTCCAGAATTCTGAGAGTCTCCATTTCTTGAGCACTTACTATGTGCAAAGATCCTTCCCTGCCTGGGCTCATTAACTCCTGAAAACACCTCCCTGGGGAAATCACAACTTAGATGCCCATTTAAGATGTCACTCATGCCCTTCAGGGTGGCTGGGGTGAAGGGTTGTCATTTGTACCCTGGGCCCCTCAGCCAAGCTGGGCCTGCTGAGGAATCCCCCAGATCTGCCTCACTGTACACTCCTCCCCCCACCATGGCTGGCGTCAACCTCGTTTAGGAATTCTCCCCTCTCAGAGCCTCAGCCACCCCAACCACCAGAGGGATCTGGTGCCCTTGCAATGGGAGTGGGGGGTAGACGTGACTCATCTGGGCCCCTAGGCGTTGTCTGAGGCCATCCAGTGATGTGGCGGGGAGAGGCATTCTGGCAGTGGCTTCCAGCTGCCTCTATTAGGGCCTGCTCCAGCACTCCTCAGGTTTGAATACTTGGGCAAGGTATTTCACCTCGCAGGGCCTCAGTTTCTTCATCTATAAAATGGAGCCGGTAAGACTGGCTTTGAGGAATTGTGAGACAACAGCAGGTGCTTAGAATATTCAGAGAATATAGTAAGTGCTCAAGGAACATAAACTAGTCTCTGACAGCAAGTGTGTCTGTGCATCTCAAAGTGTCTCATATCTAGCCTTTGCTCACAGTGGCCCCACTTTCTCCCCTACCAAAGAGGAGCTTTGGGTGAGGGACAAAATGCAGCTCAGGCACCAGCCTCCAACCAACAAGATCAGCCTTGCCTCCCCAGCACTCTATTACAGGGACAAAAAGGTCTGTCCCACCCTCAGCATCCTGCCCCGGCTCTTTATAAGCAGCAACGCATTTACTCTCATGTTAGCCCTGGGAGGTAGCCTCCCTCAGCCCATTTTAGAGATGGGAAAGCAGAGGCACAAAGAACGAAATATCTTGCCCAAGACGACACAGCTAGAAAGAAGAGAACATTGGGATTTGAACCCAGGGTCTGGTTCCAAGGTCTGTACCTTTAACTCCTATACCACGCAGCCTCCTGGGCCCTAGACACCCTCCCAGCACCTCCCAAGATCCTGGGTCTCATTCCCAGGGCTTCTCAGCCTGGCCAGGAAGGGAACTGGCGGGCAGGTCTCTTACCACTGGGCATCCAGACACCTCGAGAGCTCCTGGTCCGTCTGCTCAGCCCCAGCCCCAAGCTGGGGGGGAAAAGGAATGGGGAGGGGGAGGAGGGGGAGGAAGGGGAGACCCCAGCCATTGGCTGCCGAGGTATGACATCACCAGGGGGTGGGTGGTAGGGAAACAAACATCCCCATCTCCCAGCTATGTCCACCCGCAAGGGGGTGGGAACCACAGAAGAGAAGCCAAGACAGCCCGGTGCTGTTCCCTTGCCTGGGCTGAGACCTCCACCATGAGCCCCGCTCCTGGGATTTGCACGTTGCTGGTGCCACTTGGAGACTCAGCCCCTCACCAGCACTATTCCCTGGCTTCCACACCCAGGCATGGCCCCGCTGGTTCCTGGGGCCCCTAGATTAAACTTCTACTCCCTCTCCTGGTCAATATGGGTTCAAATCCCAGCTCAGCCATGTCCCGGCTGTGTGAACTTCGGCAAGTCGCAGCATCTTTGTCGGCCTGTTTCTTCATCTCTAAAACAGGGATAGTAAAAGTGCCCACCTTATGGGTTTCTTGTGAAGATAAAATGAGTTAAGAGAGACTAAAAACGTTAATAAATGCCTGGCCCGGAGTGAATGCTACTTATACATATTTTGTATTCTTCACACAAATTAGGGGACCAGCTAGACTTGTCAGGGGACTTTTGGTCTGAGTGAGACTGGGGCCAGGGGAGCCCCACTTCTCTGTTTAATGGAGTTGCCATTTCAGGGGGCACCTATCATGTACTAAATACTGTGCTGGGCACCCAAACCTCGGCTCCTGGAATCAAGGACGCAAGATAGATTATGCCCAATTTTTAGCTACACAGCAGGGGGGCGTGGAGCTGGGGTCCAACCTCAGTTCTGCTGGACCCCAAAGACCCTGCAACACACGTCTGTCCCCTTCATAAAACAGACAAGGAGGCTCAGAGAGGGGAATGACACCAAGGTCACCCACAGCACGTAATAGGTAGCACCAGAATTTGAACCCAGACCTGCCCAACTCCCAAACCAAGGCCACTAGGCCTCACCCTGATCCCCTGACCCCCGGCCCCCAGCCTGCCCTGACTCACCAGACCCCGGGGGGCGGCACAGGGAGCACAAGTACCCCCACATGCCCCTCACACCCACCCGGCTGCTGCCTCGGATGCTCCTGGCTCTCTGAGCCCGGCCCTGGGGCTGGGGCTGGGAAGAGGCTGGGGATTACCCCCAAAATGCATGTCAGCAGCTTCGGCCCCATTGTCCAGCCAGGCAGGGCCACCAGGCCCTCAGCTCTGCCGGCACCCTCACCCTTCACATCAGCTCTCTGGCCCCTCTGCGAATTCATCCCCCACCCCACACTGAGCAGTTGGGGCCTACTCCCGAGGGCACGAAGGCATGGGGGACTAGGAACTGGTTGGCAGGAACCCAGAATGCTAGGGCCCTCCTCCCCTCTCTCCGAAATGCCCCCTGCCCACTCTCAGCCACCAAGGAAGGCAGGAATGTGCTGACCTCTGGGAAATGCCTTCCAGGCCTGGCAGCCACCAAGGGTTGGGGTGTGGCGGAACCCAGCCAGAACCCTCCTCCCGGGAAGGGTGGAAGGAACAGTGTGGTCAGGGCTGCTGATGGGCCCGAGGAGACCCTTCCTCCATTGCAGGTGCGCTCTCTCTCTCTCTCTCTCTCTCATTCATTGATTCATTCAAATATTCATCTGTTCATTTATTCATTCAACAAACATTCACAAGCCCTTGGTGACAGGCCCTTTGCTGAGCACTGGGGACACTGACGGACCTAAATTCACCATGGGGGGCAGGCTCAGGACAGGATTCCTGGAGTCAAACTGGAGGGTTGAGGAGGGAGCCAGGTAAAAAGCTAGGGAAGAGTTTTCCGGAAGGAGGGAGGAGGAACATGGGGAAAGCACCAGGGGGGAGAGAGGGAGCAGTCCTTTATTCAATGTCAGCTAACAGTCAATAAGCACCTGGTCTCGTGCCCAGCCCCATGCTGGATGGTGCTGGGGACACAGTGTGACCAAGATAGCCTGGGCCTGCTTTCACAGAGTTCACAGTCCAACAGGGAGACAAACCCAGAGTGGCCAGGGTTGGGATGGGGGAATTGCAGGCAGAGAGGTCAGAGCCCTGCTGGGGTAGCCCAGGAAAGGTACCTGCTTCACCCTAGGAAGGGAGATCAGGGAAGGCTTCCTGTAGGAGGGGACATGTGAGCTGAGACTTGAATGACCCATAGGATCTAGGCAAGAGAAGAGAGAGTGTGGAAATTCCCTGGCAGTCCAGTGGTTAGGACTCTGTGCTTCCACTGCAGGAGGCATGGGTTTGATCCCTGGTCAGGGAACTAGGATCCTGCAAGCCACACAGCTTGGCCAAAAAAACAGAACAAAACAAAACAAAACAAACAAACAAACAAAAAAGAGGGAGAGAGAGAAGAGGGAGTGGAACAGTTTCATGGGCAGACGGAACAGCCTGTGCAAAGGATCTGGATCCAGACAGAGCTCAGCGCATAGGAAATTTCCAGGAGCTGAGAACTGTGTCCTTGTTCATGGCTGTGTCTCTAGAGCCACACATGCCCCTTCCTTTGCATGTCCTTCTCTTTTATACACTTATTCACCAGCTATTTGCAGACACCTCCTCTGTATCCATCCATCCCTGGGCTGGGTGGTGCTGGGGACACAGCAGTGACTGTGACTGTGCCCTCACAGGACTCACAGTCCAAGGGGGGCAGACACTAAGAAGTGACTAACGAAATGAGTGTATAATTACACTCTGTGCTAAGTGCTCTGAGAAAAGGATCGAGGTCTGTAAGAGGGGTCTGGCACTCTGATACTATCAGAAATGGCATGGAGGGCTTCTTGGAGGAGGTAACATTTGAGCTGGCACCTGAAGGATACATAGGAGTTCATGCCAAGCTGTGGGTGGTGGATAAATGAGAGTGGGTTTCAGGTAGAGGAAACAGCCCGTGCAAAGGGCCCCTTTGAGAAACTGGTGAATGTGAGAGTGAGGGGAAGATGAGGGGAGGGCCAGCAGGGCCACAAGGAGGGGCTGCGACTTTGTTCTGAGGGCCCTGGGTACCTACAGGAGGGACAAAGGGTGGAGGGTGGAAGGAATCTGATGACAGACCAGGCTAGAGCTGGGAAGAAAATTCACCCCTTGCCGCTCAGGGTCAGACAGACAAGGAGGCTGGTACAGGCTATCTTGTCCCTCTCTGGGTCTCAGAGGGCAGATATCCTTGTTTGTTCCCAATCTTAGGGGACAAGCACAGTTTTTTGCCATGAAGTATGATGTTAGCTGTATGTTTTTTGTAGCTGCCCTTTAGCAGGTGAAGGGAGCCTTCTTTCCCAGTTTTCTCTAAGTTTTTTGTGGTGAAAGATATGTCTCTGTCTCTGTGTCTGTCTCTCTATGTGCCCCTCTATGTCTCTGTCCTCATTCCTTATCTCTCTCCGTGTCTCTCTGTGTCTCTCTCTCTGTGTCTCTTGCTTTTCCTCACCCAAGGGGGTGTGGCCATGGGAAGTTGAATTTAAGGGGTGGCACCAGTGTCCCAGTTCCGGGCAAGGCCACCTCCATAAACACAGGACATCCTGTAGAGCTGGGGAAGGAGGTGGAAGGCTCTCCTCAGGGACCACCCTCTCCCCACCCAGTCTGAGCCAAGCAGGAGTCAGGTCCTACCCAGTGCAGCCCAGGGAAACTGCTGTCTTCCTCACCCCCGTCCTTTAGGCCTGCTCCCGCCCCCTGCCCTCTCTACCGAGCTGCAGTTCCAGGGGCCCAGCCACCTGGATGCCTGCCCCTGGGTGTCCTCACAGACCCCTGCACCCACTGTGTCCCCCTCTGGCCTCAGTGTCAACCCCAGACCAGCTCCCCCTCCGGGTCACCATCCCAGGGTGGCCCCACCATCCCCAAGTCCCTTGGCTAGAGCCCTGGGTCTCATCCTAGGCCCCTCCTCTATTGCAGCTCATCACCCACACAGCCTGTCCTCTCTAGCATCTCTCCCCTCCCCTCCCCTCCCGTCTCCTCTCCAAGGCTTCTCTGTCCCCCTGCGGCCTCCCTCCCCTCTGGACCCCTGGCCCCCAGTCTCACCTCCCACCAATGGCAGCCAGAGAGATCCATTTGCTTCCAGATTCCTTTACCCTAGTACCTTCAGAGTAAAGTTCCCCCATCCAGGGCTTTGTGTGCCCTGGTCCCTGCCAACCCCTCCAGCTCCATCACTTACCTTACCACTTTTCCCCTGTTTCCAATCAAACCCAGCAGCTTACAGATTCCTGAAAAGATTGTAGGGTCCCTCACTCCCTAATCCTTGCACATCCCTCTGCCTAGAACACTCTCCCCTCAGAACAACAGCCCTTTGAGGTAGGTACTCTTACCGTTCCAGCTTAGAGACGAGGACCCTGAGGCCCAGAGAAGTTGAGAACCTTGCCTAGGGTCACACAGCCACAGAACGGCAAAGCAGAAGTTCAAACACAGGTGGCCTGGCTTTCAACACAGTATGGCTTATTGAGTCCATAATCATTGACTGGACTTCCCTGGTGGCACAGAGGTTAAGAGTCTGCCTGCCAAGGCAGGGGACACGGGTTTGATCCCTGGTTCGGGAAGATCCCACGTGCCACGGGGTAACTGAGCCCATGCGCCACAACTACTGAGCCTACGCACCACAAATACTGAAGCCCACGTGCTCTAGGGCCCACGTGCCACAACTACTGAGACCATGTGCTGCAACTACCGAAGGCTGTGTGCCTAGAGCCTGTGCTCCGCAACAAGAGAAGCCACCACAATGAGGAGCCCGTGCACCTCAACGAAGAGTAGCTCCCGCTCATCACAACTAGAGAAAGCCCACGCGCAGCAACGAAGACCCAATGCAGCCAAAATAATAATCATCATTGTTGACTAAGCATCGTTAGCTCTCCACACTGGGACTGCAGACCGTGGGTGTCCCGTAAATGCTCATTGAGTGAATGGGACAGGGGCAGAAGGTGAGCCTTGGACGGTACAGGGTTCAGACCCCCCCCCGCCAAGGACCGGGATACATTCTGAGGGGCCCAGAGCAG